TAAGCCGTTGGGAACGAGGTAGTCGAAGTTCGTGGTGGGTGAATTATTATGAAGGAAGTGAGCGCTTCCGATGCCTCGGATGGGAGCTCACGAGACGAGCAGCTGCAAATAGACGTAAGACGTCGGACAATTCCTCATGCAACTCCGTCTCTGATCTGACAGTGGGAAGGGAGATGACAAGGATTAGTTCTGACTGTGATATTGGGCGATGAGAAGTGGAGGCAGACAGTGCGGAGTTGATGCTCAGCTACTAGCGTGTACACAGTACTTTACTGCCTCTAGGGCGGTGTAGGGTGTACATATTTTGTAGCAGAGCTCTTATCGTTATCATAGACCAGATGATATGCGATGAGACGAGACGGTGCACAACAGCCGCCGCTAGCCGCTTTGGGTGTATTTGGGAGTAGTTGGCCTGGCTTCGTAAGTTCGATGCTGGACTTTGGATGATGAAAGGGGTATGATGGAGCTATTCTCAAAGGGGACGAATGAAGGTCAGACATCGATTTCCTTGAACATTACTGAGGTATGTTGACTGAGGGGCCTAGAAGTTGAACTGTTGAAGATATCGGCTGGAGAAGTCTTATCGATAACGTCCACTCTAATCGTTATCGGCTCTTGGTTGTCGCGGTGCTCACGCCACTTCCATCTTCCCATCTTCCCATCTTCAACCTTCAACCTTCAACCTTCGATGCATCAAACATGAGCGGGCGGCGTATCACAAGCACTAGTAATAGCTAAACTCCCCTAGTAATCGCCAAAATCTCGTCGACTTGGTGTCTGACACACAACTCCCCTACTATACTATAGCAGCCGATTATAGAGCGTGACGACCTCCTTGTCCTTTGCGCCGAATCGCGCCTACACCTCATCAAGCCGAGGCGCATTCGCAACCACAACATTCCCAAGTCCCCATATACACCACCGAACAGCACGCCATCTCCTTTCCTACCTAATCCTGCAAGCAAGACCACAATGGGCAACGATGGTGGCTCAATCCCCAAACGGCGCGAACTAGTAAAATCCGCCGCGAGGGCCGCAACCTCTAGCGAACTCAAAGAAACAGCCCTCGAGTCCCTCACACACGCGTGGTCCTTCTGTCCGCTGACCTCCACGCCGCTCGACCCATCCAACACCGTCTCCGACTATCGTGGGCTATTGTACAACTACGAGTCCATCCTGCAATGTCTCTTACCGTCGGGTAGTGGAGAGGCCGAGGGGGCAGAGGCCCAGATCGAGGAAGCGTTCATGAAGACGGGGATCAAGACTTTGAAAGACGTCCAGAAACTCAGGTTTTCCATGCGGCAAAGCGACAAGGGCGAAGACATTAGAGCTTGTCCCGTGAGCTTGAAGGAGTTGGGCGCGAGTACGAAGGCGGTCTATATTGTGCCTTGTGGGCATGTCTTTGCGGAACTTTCCATGAAGGAGATATCGGGATCAGGCGAAGGAGCGGCGGAAAAGAGGTGTCCGGAGTGCAGTGAAGCGTTCGAGTCGGACAACGTGATACCCATTCTATCCACCTCAGATGCCGAGGCTAACAAGCTGGAGACGCGAATGGAGGATCTGAAAGTGCGGGGGTTGACGCATAGTTTGAAGAAGGACAAGAGCGGTGGAAAGAAGAAGAGGAAGGCCGAGGAAGCTACGAATAGCGAGGCATCAACTGGAACCAACGGAAAGGATGGAAAGAAAGAGAAAAGGGGGAAGAGAGAAAAGGGCTTGGGCATCGAGAGCCGGATCAACAACCCCATGACTGCCTCCCTTACCGCCAAGGTCCTCGCAGAGCAGGAGGAAAATAACAAGAGGCGCAAGATTGCTGCGGTACGGTAATCAAGGGGGTATCGGTGGGAAATATGGCGCCAATGCGTATTACGATGCCGAATGATACCACGATTTTGATATGCCTGCTCTGGACTGCTTGTCACTGCTGAAACAGATAGAACCTCATACGAGGAAGGCCGAAAGGCTCCAACAAGAAATTTCGAACCTTTGGATTGATGGAGGGGAGATACGGTATTGCCAGAGAGCACGGATTTGTTATCAGATGTGTACGGCTTTGAATGACAAGTCCGCGGTTCCGACGTGCATCTATCTTTGTTGCTCCTCATATGTAATGTTGACCCTACGCGATGCCTTTCAGGCCCTCCTGAGGACTTCTAAAGATTAATACTCATGGATCACCTTGTTGTAGACTCAGGTTTACCTACGCGTCAGCAAATATATCCGCTATATTATGCATCTGTATCAGTGATACTTGACTCTCAATAGTATACACAGGTCACCCGTGCTCAACTCCATGCCAAAGCACCGCACATCATTCTTCTATCTACGCTTGTTTGTCGACCTTTGTCAATGCTAAAATCCCTTCGTCTAGACTACACTCTACAGCTCATCCCTCCCCCTCGTTCCCGGCTCGACTTCCTCTTCGCAAGCAGCTGGGGTGCCCACCTCCATCTTGTAGACACACTTCTCCTGCTCGGACACCCTCCACAACTCCTCCGTCTCTGCACATCCCAACCACACATCCGTCCGTCGGTTCGGTCCATTCCAGCACCCCTGTCCATTTTCATACCTCAACACCATCCTTTGCCCGCGTCCGAGTCCTTTCCCATCATGGCGCGCCTCCTCGTCGCTCTCTTCGAACTCAATTCGGTCGAAGCTTCCCATAGTCGTGGAACCTCCTCCCTTCTTGGATTTTTGTGCGGTCTTGCCAAGCCAGCAGACTTCGTAGGTGTACTCGCCGGCATCGGTAGACACGCATTTGTCTTTCAGGACGCGGAAGATGTCGTCACGGCCATAGTCCTTCTCCAAGTCCATCTTCTTTTCGATGAGTTCCTTGTCCTTGCCGCTAATATCGCGATCGACCGATTCGTAGGATTCGCGAGCGGCCACGACGAGGCGCGACTCGCCCTTGCCAGAAGGATTGTCGGCTACGATGCCGTTCTCGATCAACCAGATGCGGAAGAAGTTGACCTTATCGTGGACAAAGTCTCGGACTGGGCCCGGAAGGTAAGCTTCGAGGTTGTAGACTGTGACTTGTCAGTATGTATGTTCATCGAAGATGAGGATGTGGGGATGGACTCACGGATGTCGGTGTCCGTAACTTCGCCATCATCGTACTCTTTCCAGTTGATACCATTGCTCTCGTCGTCCTCCTTCAGGGCCTCCTTGACATCATCCTCGCTGAACTCGTCGTCGTTGTTATCACCCAGCTTAGCAGCATAGTCCTCCCATGCCCTAACAGCTTTCTTGACACCCTCATCGTTGAAGTTGGGATTGTGCTCTTCCTTGAAAGTAGCCAGGATGCCCTCCAATTCGGTAAGCTTGGCTTTGAGATCATCACGTTGGCCAATGATGACGTCCAATGCATCCCGGAGCTCATTGATTCTTGACTTTGCCAATCCGACCAGAATACCCAGTTTTCCGGTACCTTCGCCCTTGACGACCTTTCCCCGCTCCGATCTTTCGATCTCATCATACTTCTTCTTGAGCTCATCCCGTTGAGCCTCTAGACCCTTGAGCTCCTCCGTCAGGGTGGTTATCTTAGCGTCGACCCGGCGCCGGAGTTCCTTAGACTCCTTGACCATGGTTCGACGCCTTTTGTTCGCCTTTTCGAGGTTATCCTTCCTCTCTTTCTCAACCCGCCGCCACTCCTTGCCGATCTCAGCACACCGGTTTTGGCACTTGACGCCTCCGACGCCTTTGTACTCCTCAGATCCATCACAGCACAATTCGTGGTCGCAGATGCCGTCGTTCACATACATGAAAGGGACGTAAGCACCGATATGGCCGTCATTGGCGCACCAAAAGCCCGGTAGGCCATTAGTCGCGTTAGTCGACCCCGAGAGGGACGCCGGCAGAGGTTGAGAAGGGGAAAGGTGGTCTAGGTAGGCGCATGCTGCCGTGCCAGGCTCGTCTGAGCCGTCAGGACAGTCGCAGCTGTTGTCGTTTACTTTGGAGGAGGGAATCGAGACGGCTGGGTGGCCGATGCACGTAAATGTGTCTTTAAACTCGTAGAATTTAACGACTAGGAAGCAATTCATCAGTACTTGTCTGTAATTAGGTATCTCCAGATTCAACGTATGTAATTCTGATAACATGGCACCTAACCATGGGCCAGCATCGTCCCAGTCATTACAACGTAAGAAGACTCTGTGGGGTGCCATCACGATAGTGAATGACACGGAGATAGATTGATGGGAATACCAACATTCGGGACCAACACCTCGTGGAACTGATCCAGCAGCCACGAGGCCACTGCTGGCAGCAGTGCATAAGAGCACCAACGCCTGTAATTGCCGCATTCTTATGTGCTGGTGCGACCTCGTCACAATCAATGGATGAGGATGTGTGAGCTGGCAATATCTAGAATTGAACACGAAACACCAGAGCTCGAGGGGCCCCGAAGCTGCCCAGCGTCGGAACAGCACAGCTTCAGCCACAGAAACCCCTGACCCGCCACAATCGAGGGGTCAGTTTAGCCACATCGCGCTCTTGCCCCTTTCGAAAGAATAGGGATTTTGATTGGCCATTGCATTTCCCCCTTCAACTTGGGTCAGACCCTGCGAGTCATACAAATATACCTAGGTAAGTACCTATAATCAAGAGTGCAATCAGTCACTCCGTAACGATCAGCTGCCCTCTACTGCTTCTGGAACTATGGAGCTTAACCCCGGAGATTTGGAACGTCTGTTAGTCGAAGGTGACTATCAACAGTATTCCTAGCAACATGCTTCAAATGAGCTAGTTTACGCACAAAATCGCAAACTTCATGACATACACAATGAGATGAGGCTGTTACATTGAAAGATACCATGTCTACTCTTTTGCAACCCAATGCGAAGCGGACAACCCAGCTTCATACACACACTTGGTGTCATCGAAGTTCGTTTGGCTGGCAGCAGGTGTCTCTCCATGAAGTAATCACGATTTTGACGCCTTCCTTCGTTGATTCCCATTTCCCTCTCCATACTATGAAACAGGACAATGTGAAGACTTACAACAAAGGCCGGGTGGTGTAGTGATCATCACATCAGTCTCCCACGCTGAAAATCACGAGTTCGAACCTCGTTCCGGTCATCTTTCTGTTACTGTGTTACACTCCAATGGCGGGCACACCTGCCGATCGTCACCCGGTGATAAGGAACATCATGAGTTGGAGTGAACTTTTGTTAGAGTCGCCATTTATACTGATAAGCTCGAGTCGAGGTTTGCTGTACCGGACCGGACATTTGTTTTGGAATGTTAGATGGGACCATTGTTCTGTTGGGAGCACCAATGTTGTTTCCAGCCTTGAACTTCTCTTATTCGAGGTTAATGCTCCCAGGCCTCTGAAGATTAGGTTTCCGATGGGCCACAAACAACAAACATGCTACGGCTGTAGAGGCAGTCGAACAGTATCGACGAGTTATCGTAGTGAGATAAGCTCTCTCGCTACCCGCGGACTGCGACTGTCCATAACCAGCGATGATATTTTTGTTTCAGTAGTGTATAAATCTAGAGAACAGCTTTCATGAGTCAGATTGAATATGACGCTTTCTAGAAGCACGCTGCGGTCATAATGTACATAATGCTCTCTAGAAGTCAAGATAGTAATAGTACCCTTCACTATGCATACGGATATCAGAGTCTACCCTGATATATCAACGTTCACACAAACATTTCAACTTGCTGTATATTCATAATCTATGACGCCCAAAGCTACCCCCATTCTCTTCCAGCACCCCGACAACACCAGGTCTATCTCCGTCCTTCATGTTGTGCTCGGTGTTGCTGCACAGGCCAGTGTCAACACCAGGAAGAACGGCGTGCGGAACATGCGTCGATAGAACACTGTAATTCCCGCCAGCCGATAGGAGCGACCAATCTACAGATTCTTAGGTGCCAGGACAAGTATCTGCTTCACACAGTTCTGATGTTGACCGTATGCTGGTAGCTACGGGAATGTTGCCCCGGAGCCCCGGAACCCCGTACCATCATGGCACCCATATGGCGGGCACCGTTGTATTGAAGCACGCATTGGTTTCCAAGAGTATCTTAGAGCATATGATGGTACGGTCGCCGGTACTGCTTTTGCCAGAGGATATGATAATGATCAGTAGTCTAATGCTAAAAAGTATCAGCTCCACAAGGGGGTCTTCAAGGATAACTCTTTAATTTTCATCCAACCGTTCAAGGTCGTTTTTTGAAGGAAACATCATCGCTAACTCCTATTCAGGGAAAAGTACTGGCATAGCGCAGTACGAGAGCTACGCTAATTTGTCGACCTTCGCGGCGTCAATGATGGAGCTATTCAGTTCTGTATGCAGCTTTGAGAAGGCCCCCTGCTGACTTGAAAAGTCACTAGAGGTGAGACCTAGGCAGATTCGCAGGCAATGTGTCGTATAGATTAAACAGCAACTGACACGTTAGCCAGTAAGACGAGGTGTACATCTCAGAACAATAGGTCAGGCTTTTGCGACGACTGCATACCGTCCTGTATCAAGTGGGTAGGTTTCTGGGATGGCAGCCGGCTGAGACCACTGACTAAAGTCCTTTAAGAAGAGATGAGGCAACCAATAGGGAATTGGACAAATCGAAAAGTCGCCGAAGACGTGGTCGGTGGTCTCTTTTACGATCTGGAGGCCTGATGCAATCCGTATTGCCACATAGCAGTAGCTGCTTTCTTAAATATTACGTGGATTCGTTGGCTATCTCCGTTCAGGAGTACAGCCACGACATAGTGCCCTACAATGCCTGGAAAGGGGAGGTTCGTCATCGTTCTCCCTCATGAGAACGTCACGCTGACCCATCTCCGCACCACAACAATTCCGGCAGAAGTTCTCGAGCGTAATATAACTGTTACGAGGTGGGAATGCAGTGATTTTTCTTGAACGTGTGCCTGGTAGGCCCGACGGAATCCTGCTTGTAAGAGGAAGCAAGACCCGGCAGATTCAGAAGACCCGTGGGCTCCTTAGAAAAAAGCTGATCGCCACCTTTCCAACCTTCACTGTCGCACGGACCATCAGCCGTTGGGCATTTTGTGGCGAAGTCAGGAAGCGCGGGGTGATTGATTGGTCTGCGCCTTGCAAGGCGTTTTGAAGTAACTTGGGGAACAGATATTCCATTTGTAACCGGGGCTGTAAATTACGTTGGGTAAGTACTTAGTGGGTAGACAAAGTATAAGTCAACAAGCAAACCAATAGAACCCTCTGTTTTTACATTTCGGCTGAACACTGAGGAGCTTGGATTGGCAGGGTAAGCTGCCGGGCATGTCCTACAGACAGTTAGTTAGTTGGGCGGGACAATTTACGGAAGGCCGAAACTTCCCACAGTCCACTGAAGGCCTTCGCTCAGAACAATTCCTTGTGCTGCAGTCCTTCTTGACAAAGCTTACCTAGGTACCTACCGTATCTGATGCCAATAGTTGATCGCAGCGCACCTTGCCTCCAATTTCGGCGCCACATGTTTCCCCATTGTCAGGGCTCCACGCCCTCTTAGCTTTGAAGTCAGCTCAGGTCAAGACTGTCTGCACAGTGTTGCCTGAGGGCTATGGAAGCTAGCCCTGCCGAAAGGCATATTCGTGAGTCGTAGTCCACGAATATGAATATTGTGTATATATGTTTCATGTTGTCATCATCATCTACGAAGGTATTCACTACTATATATGTTTCATGTTGTTATTATCATCTACGAAGGTATTCACTACACGCAACTACGCTATATATTGCACCTTCAGAACACCTCGCCCCGAGAACCTCTGTCATATAGCGTCCAGATAATTGATATCGGCGGCTTATTTTCTCACTTGACGCCTAGTCATCATGGTAACGTGCAATTACCGTTCCAGTAACAATTCTGACTAACATTTCACAAGGTTCGCCGCCTTCTTCCGGAGATCGACAACGACTTGTTGGAAAGCTTTGAGGATAAGCTTACGATATCTCCGGCATCGACGGCATCAAGATCGGTATCGAGTGACGCCAATGTGTCCATCCACCCCTTACCCTCGCAAGAAGGGGTTATCATTAAAGTAGAACCACCGAGATATCTTGACGACCCAAAGGTATCCCATGTGCCATGCGATATTGTGCTGGTAATCGATGTCAGCTGGAGCATGAGGGATTTCGCGCCAGCCGCTAGCTGGAATGACAAGTCTGAAGTAGTACGTGAAAATGCAGGCTTCTCGGTTTTGGACATCACGAAGCACGCGGCGCTTACCGTCCTGGAAACTCTGAATGATCGCGACAGACTCGGCATTATTTCATTTAGTACCAAGGCAAAGGTAGGTCGGACTGACCTTGCTATCTGAGGGCCAAGTGATTGACGGTAACTCAAGGTAGTCCAACAACTGCTTCCAATGTCTCAGTCGAACAAGAGCTGTACAGCACAAAGAATCATGCGGATGGAGGAGGAGCATGCAACCAACCTCTGGGGCGGCATTGTGGAAGGATTGGGTCTCTTCAAGAGCAATGCTGGATTTGGCCGTGTGCCTGCAATCCTAGTTTTGACTGACGGCCAGCCAAACCATGGGCAAGTCAGCAATGGGTCCAAATCAGAGATGCTTCTAACATTGTCAATCCAGACATCCGCTTGGAGGCTATGTGCCCGCGATCCGAGCTATGGGAGATCTGCCAGCCATCATCCACACATTTGGCTTCGGCAACGATATCCGATCTGGACTACTCAAGTCCATCGCCGAGATCGGCGGAGGCAATTACGCATTTATCCCAGATGCTGGAATGGTTGTAAGTAGCAAGCCTCCCAAGCGACAAGCTCCTGCTCACAGTTTTCAGGGGACCGTAATCGTTAATGCAGTAGCGCATCTTCAATCGACTTTCGCCAACAGATGCTCGGTCGAGATCACATATCCGGACTCCCTAGGCTTGGCGGTAAGCCGCGGAAAGACCGATAAACAGCAAGAAAAAGGTGAACTGAATACCTCCGGCTTGGGTGTCATGTGCCCGACTGCTGGATCAAGACGACGAAAGCTAGCCCTGAACCTGGGCAACCTCCAATTTGGGCAGTCTCGGGATGTGTACCTGGCCTATTCCAATCCACCGGAAATCAGCTTCGCTTGCGAGGACAAGCCGCTAAACATCGACGTTCAGATCACCTATACCCGCATGTATAACGAACAATTTGTTGTCAGGACCCAGCAGAATGTCTTCACTGCCACCAGTCTGCCAGATGCCGAGATTGCGTATCACCAAAGCAGAGCAATGGTCTGCGAGTATCTGTCTTCCTTCTTCCCTCTGAAATCGGATGGCGAGTATGATATGCCCCCGTTAACCGCCGCCTTTAAATATGGTGTGCGATCAGAGTTTCGCAATCTATTGGCTCGCATTCCGGCAGCTGACTTCCCGGCGGACGCGCGAAACTCAGCCTTGTTACAGGACCTTACCGGGCAGATCAAGATGGCTGTTTTCAAAGAGACTTACTTGAGAACATGGGGTACGCACTACTTCCTGAGCCTCTGGGGCGCACATGCCAAACAGTTTAGGAACACCTTCAAAGATCCCGGGGTCCAGATGTACAACGCAGCTTCGCCTTTGTTTCTCAAGTGCCAGCAAGAGCTTATAAATGCGTTCAATACAACTGTCGAAGCGCCGGAGCCAAGTCTCAGAGCTGAGGCCGATGAGAAATACAGTAGCGGGGCGGTCACCCCATCAATGTCATCGTATTACAGGAGCGATTACCCGTGTTTTGCCGGGTCGAGCTTGGTGGCCATGGCAGACGGTAAGCACCTACCGATTAGCGAGTTGCGGAAGGGCATGGCCGTTCGGACACCAGCCGGCAGCCGAAGAGTCGTCGCAGTGTTGAAGAACAGAGTGAAGAGCATCGTCCTGTGCAAGGTTGGGAACCTCTTGGTAACACCGTGGCATCCCCTTATGGTCGGCACTGCATGGACGTTTCCGGCGCAAGTTGCGAACAAAGCTGCAAGATACTCAGGAGCAGTCTACTCCGTGCTACTCCAGCCGGATGGGAATACTGCTGCCCATGCCATTAGAGTTTGTGGCATTTGGGGCACGGCCTTGGGCCACGGCGTCGTCAAGGGTGACGATATTCGCGCGCATGGATTCTTAGGTGATTATCGGAAG